TGCTTTTTGACTTTTAATTTCACTCAAACACAGAGAGCTTGTTTCCTAAGGTTCAGGAATCTTCCAAGGCTTAGGGCCCTTGAATTTACTTGAGGCTGCAGGCAAAGCACTTTCGGAGGCACTGTGCTTGCTTGCATAGGAACATGCTTCCCCATGATGGTTTCACAGGGGTCAGAGCAGGTGCCAAAACTCATTATGGATGCACACAGAAGTGGCAGGGGGCAGCTTAGAGGAAGGACAGAGTTGTGTCTCTCTTCTGCTGCTCACACCAGTGGTGTCCCATAGGCTGCACTCCACTCTTCGGCCCCATTTCTTTCTAAATCATGTAATCTGCCTGCACCACTGTATGTTTTTCCCCTCTACATTGGGGATTTTTTCCTGCTCTAAAGCCGTTGGCATGTGTGCGTAGGTTCCCCACCATTGGTCTAAATGTTTGTGTCCTTCTCAAATTCACGTGTTGGGATTTAGGCCCAAGGGAACAGTATTGGGAGGTGGCACTGAGAGGTTACTTAGTCCCCAGGGAGTGGAGCCCTTGGGAATGGGATCAATGCTTTATAAAATGAGGTCCCAGGGAGGTCACACACCCTTTTTCCATCAAAGGACACAATGAGAAGAGGGTCTTCACCAGAGGCTGGCCACACACCCTGACCTCAGACTTCCAGTCTCCAGAATGTGAGACAGAGGTAAATTCCTATGGCTGGTAAGTCACTTGGTACTTTGTGACACTAGCCTGAAAGAACTAAGCTGAATGTACAACACTGTCTTGTGCACAGGTCCCTCACTTTCAGGGTCTGGAGGAAGAATGTGAATCCCCAGCATTGAAGCCATCTGTCCCTCATGCCTGCATCATATTATTAATCCCAGTGACCTTGGCTTGTGCAAGTGCCATGGCTGCATCCTGATACTTAAGAAACCTCCAATGGCCAAGAGACCCATCATCAAGCTTTCTTTGGTCAAAGTCTTCCTTTTTCTTGCCACATGGAAAGAAAAATTAAACAGAATGTCATCCGTACGACATGAAAAATTGAATCAGCAAAGAAAAAAAACCCTTCAAAAAGCCAATTATCCATTTAGTCATTGTGATAAGCCTATATTAAAACCCAGAGTTTCAAGGAAGGTCAAAGTTCTAGTTAAATTTTTAATAAACTATAAAGGATAATGTTAAAGAACTGACCTGTTCAAAGAGAAGCTGGCTACAGACAGGCTCCTAAAGCATTGTCTTCAAAGGGAGTGATGCTGCAGGGGACTATGGGTGAGCTGCTGTCTCCTTAGAGAAAGTGGAAACTGAAAACGCAAGGACAGAGCCACAGCAGGGTTTTCCGAGGTCTGTTCCTCTGGATTTAGACCCTAAATGATTTCATACAGGGCTATGGGCTTAAGTAACACTCACACGCCCATGATCCACAAATGTACAGCTCTCGGCAGACTGTACCCCCTATCTCCAAGCTTGTGTACCCAGGTGTCTAATCAGTGTCTCCACTGGAAAGTCTAACATCAGTTAAGCACTATGATCCCAGATGAAATCCCAATACTCCCCTATGACCTGCCCCAGCTCAGCTGATGGCAACCCTGCCCTTGCAGCCGCTGGCCCTGAGACTTCTGGGTCCCTCCTGGTTCATCTCTTGTTCTCACACCTCCCACGCATCCAAAGGCCCCACCTTTACTGGAGACCCAGATGGGCCCTTTTTTCACCATCTAGCCACTTCCATCCTGGCCTGAGCCACCGTGACCTTTCAGCCAGACTCTGCATGCAGATGGCTGCCATGCAGGTCTCCCTGCCTCCATCTTCTCCCCTCCTCCATCCAGCCTCTACTCACTCTTGAAAGTTAGAGTCAAGTCATGTTGCCCTGGTTCAGAACCCCGCAGCAGCTCATGAGCCACAGAGCACAAGGGAGTCTTTATGAGGAGCCCACTTCCCACTAAAACACAGCCTTCACCTGGGGGTTCCCTCCCTAATGCAACTGCCGCTCAGAACTCCCAGCCACTGTTCGCTAGTGCCAAACACTGTCGCCTCCGGGCCTCTGCACAGGCTGTTCCCTTTGCCTTCAATACTCAGTCTTTCCCAGGGACCTGCAAGATTCCTCAAACACAAAGACATCTCAGTGACTCTCACCTGCCTGCTCTGTTTGAAATTTCATCGCCTTCCTCTAATACTCTACTGTGTCCTCTTTTCTGCCGACCTTTACCTTTTTTCTTAGCACTTGCTACCTTCTAATGCAATATATCATTTGCTGCTTCACTGATGATCCCCAGCTATGACACTAGTGATAGGAAGCCAAGGATCTTGGTGTTTTAGTCTCAATAGAACCCAAATACCTAGAACACAAGACTAAAATGAAATTTCTCTTCCAACCTCTTGATCCAAGCCACCTATCTATTCTCCAGTCAATTGAACCAGTGACTATCACTGGTCTCATTTCAAGAGGCTCTTTGGCTGTTTCTATAAAAGAGATGAAGGGTGAACTTGGAAACTTCAAAGACCCCGAGGGAGGGCATTCTGCCAAGGAAGAAGCAGTGGTTGAATCCAGGCTGGCTTAGTATCAGGTGTGGCCGCCATCCCACACATCTCCCTCAATACTCTTTGCTTCTGGCCTTCTTCCAAGCTCTCCCTGGAGTTGAGAAGCATTTACAAGAGTGAGACTTGATTCTGCCTGGCCTCCCATCAGTCTAGCTGGGAATTTACCGCCACTGAGCATGCTGGAGCAAACAAGGGCAGGGCAGGTGAGTTACATACGGGATAGAGTCCACTGGCGGGAGTTAGTACTTAAAGTCCACTACTATGAAGTCTGGAACTCAGGACATTTTTGTGTTCTTCAGAAAAGGAGTCACTTGGGTGGACTCAAGCTAGTTCACCACTTTTTCTGGCTTTAAGCTCCTCAGATAGATCTTAATTCTTTCTCACTCGGCTAAAGAGGGGTCCTGCATGGGAGAAGGACAACTACTGAAACAACATGAGTAACTTTTCTTGCCCAGCCATCAGAATCTTACAGCTGGAAGGGGCTGCAGAGCATGCATTTTCCGTGGGGTTTTAGGACCTTGGGGTAAACACTGCCAGACCCTCCCACCAGGGCAAATGGGCTTTGTTCCCCTCTGTGCACTGCAGTCCCTCCCACACAAGACTTCCACTCAAGACACACTGAATGAGAATCTCCAGAAAAGTTTACTCATGACCCAATGGGTAAGAGCCAAGAAGGAAACGAGAGAAACAAGCTGTAACAAAAATTCTGGGAAAACAGCCTATATTTGACCACGATGTAGAAATTACTAAGATTGGGACTGAAACAACAGAGGAACAGGCTTCATATCCAGAGAAATATTTAAGCTTAAAAAGTGGGTGGACATACCATGTTTTCAGGGAATTGAATATACATTGGACTATATATAATATGTATTAGAATTTTTTGGTCTTTAAATACAGCAAAAAGTGTCTTTGTTGTGCCACTTAGTTTTCCATTGCTGGGAAAATATATCTAGCATATACATTTTAAGGGAAAAAAGATTTTGGGGATGAGCTTACAGTTCCAGAGCTTTTAGTCCATGGTCAGCTAGCTCTAAGGAAGAAACAAACATGGCAGACAGACATGGCGAAGGAAAGTTGCTTAGCCCAGGGCAACAAGAAGCAGAGAAAGAAGAAAGAGAAGAAAGAGGAGAGAGGAAGGAGAAGGCAGGAGAAGAAGAAGAGGGGAGAGAGAGACAGAAAGAGAGAGACAGAGAATGGCTGGGGTCAGGACACACCACACCATTCTAGGCCATGCCTTCAATGACCCACCTGCTCCAACCATGCCTCACTTTCAAACAGCACATTCAGTTATGAACTAATCAATGAATTAGGCCATTGATGAGATCAGCACCTCTGTAATTCAATTGCCTTCTGAAGTCCCATCTCTCAACATGTGAGTCTTTTGAGGGACATTTTAATTCCAGGCCACAGCAACAAGCACTCCACTAAGTTTCACAAGAGGAATAAGCTTCACTTGCCACATAAACTTTAAAGAGAAAAGTGTCCTGACTTGGAAGCTTTGCCTTACCTCATCTTCCTCATGCAACGAGTGACAGGTGACCCATAAATTTTGCAAGGAGAAGACAAAGCACTTGGGGATATTCCCTGGGGAGGCAACTGCTCAAAATAAGGTTCGCAAATACCCAAGAGTGGGTCAGAGCATTTCAGCACTGAAGACAGAGGAGGTCAAGGCTGGAAGGCAGGGAAGGGCAATGTCAATGCCAATAACAGCATCCACATGGCAGGGGCTCAAAGGGTCAGGCGGGACACCAAAGGCTGTAGGGACATTTAGCCTCTTGTTCAAAACTCAAAATAAGCTAATCATAGCACTACTCCCATATCATTGATGAGGAAACCAAAGTTCAGGGAGTTCAGGTAACTTTCTAAGATAAGTTCATTTGTAAGAAGCGGAGCTGGAATTCCAAGATATAACTCAAGGGGCTCAGACCCCTCATAAATCTTTATTACTTTTTATTTTTATATTTACCTATGTCTTCTAATAGCTCTAAAAGCATGTGATGCTTGAAGTAAAATATCAGTAAGTCTTCTTCCCAATTAAAAATCAATCCAAAGATGTACAACACATTAATTCACAAGGCTAACCAGGAAGACTGGTAAGGACGTTTCAGAAAGATGCCCCCATGAAGAAAGCAGGTAAGTCAGTGTCAAACTAAATTGAACTTAGTACTTTTAAAAAGCATTAGGCAGAACCAAAGATACATTTATAAAAGCACCCTCTACCAGTGCAATCACTATCAGTTACAAAATTCTATGCCAGTAACTCGCTACCAAATATGTAAAGACAGGGATTTCTAGAGGGAAACAGCAAAAGCTGTTTAAAACAACAAGAATGGGATGTTTTAGCCCACAATGATCAGTCTACACTGGGTTACACAAAATGTAAGTTCAAGAAAGGGCTGTACCCCACTTCACAGCCACCACAGCCCCTCCTCCGGCCAGACTCCTGCACTGACAGGTGGCTGAGGGCGCAAGTCCTCACCTGGGATGTTGTGTATGGTGATGGCCAGGATAAGCAGCATGATTCTCCTCCAGCTGCTGCTGCTGGGCTGTGCTAGGTGCCCTCGAGAAGATGTCAGGGGAGCAGGGCCCTCAGGGGGGCCGCCGGCCACTACCTTCCTCCTCTGGTACGCCTCGCCGTTCTCACTCTTGTCTGAGCAGAAAGAGAGGGAGAGGTAGGAAGAGGTTTGAAAATGCACACGTGGACACTCAGGCAAGCAGTAGCGAGAGAAAGCTTTAAGGTCCGGGACACTCTGCTTCTACAGTGGTGGTTGCTTTTCTCACCTGCAGGCAGTTATGCAACAAACACTGGTTGAAGAGAGATTGGTTGAATAGACAATAGTGTACTGTACCTACTGTACCAAGAAGGATAAAAAGATAAAACTTTGGAGTCCTAGTCAAGCATGGTGGTGCACACCTATAATCCCAGCACTCTGGGAAGCTGAAGCAGAACAATCATAGGTTTGGGTTCAGCCTGAGCAACTTAGTGACTTAGGGAGATAGTCTCAAAATAAACAGTTTAACAAAGGGCTGGGGATACACTCAGTGCAAAGGCCTTGTGTTTGATCCCCAGCACTGTGAAAAGCAAAGCAAAGCATTGCAATGTCTGTGCTGAGTGCTGATTAGAAGGACAGATTCCAGAACCACATGGCCTGACTTGAGCTTCCTGACTCAGCCATTCATTGATTGCGAGCTGCTGAACAAGTTGTCTAATTTCTCTCTGATGTAGTTTCCTGATTCATGAAATGGGACAACAGCACCTGTCTGTAGAATTCTGTGAGGATTCAATGAAGTTGAAGTACATGAAAGTGCTTGGAATGTACTGAGTGCAAGACATACTGATTGCTCCTGTTTGTACTGCATTACTTCCCTCCCACAGGCTACAGAATGTCACAGAATATGACCCTGCTCCCTGCCTCAGGAGGACCGACTCAGATGTCAGGCTCAGCCAATCAGATTCCCTCCTTGGGATACGTGTTCACCCTGGTGTGGGTACAGAATTCCAAAGGCCGTGCTGGGGCTCCACCAGCACGCAGTGAGGGAGGCAGCTTTACATATGGGCAAGAGGAAACATGTATGTGTGAACAGCAGGTACCCACAAGAAGCCAGCCAGCCAGGGAGGAACAGAAGTGGCTCTGCAATCCAGGGGACAAGGACGAGGCAGAGCATCAAACTTCAGTTCACACCACAGAATAGATGGAAGAAGCTTGGAGAGGAAGGGGGCACTTCTCAAACGGGGGGGGGGGGGGCACCATCCACCATTAGGAAGCCAGGTCTTTGCCAAGAGCCTGGTGGGCACAACATGGATGTCACATGTTAAGTGCTCCACCCTGAGCCAACCCCAGAGAGTTATCCAGTAACTCTCCTCCAAGCAGAGTTATCCAGTAACTCTATTCACTCTGCAAAGTATCCAGGTTGGGAAGACCAGTTCTGCACCCGTGGCTGTAGGCAGGAGCTATCTGCTCAGGTCAACATGCTGGTCCATGTCCTGGACCATGCCTGACAGGAACCCTCACTACTTTTTCCCTTCTCCAGTCATAGACATGCTCCTTGTGAATGAAGGCTAGAGAGAAACTTTCTAAAATCCAAATTAAGAATTAAGGGGCAACTTTGGCCAGCCCCTCCTTCTTCCCAATGTCACACAAGGCAAAGGCACTTTTTCTCTCCATGGTGGGTGCTGTATTTAAAGACTGTGTCCCACCCAATTTGGTGGCATCTGTGGCTCCCTTTCAGGTGAATCACCCAAATGAGAGACTTAGACTTGAAAAGGAAAAAAACCCTTCTGGAGAAGATCATTTTTTACTTGTACTCAAATCAATCAAATACAGCTTGAAGAATAGAAAGTCACAAAGGGCAAATGGATGTGTCCCTAGCTCATGATCGGTTCTCTTACAGCTGGTCTCAGTGCTACTGTTGGCTGGGGGACAGTTCCATGGCTGAGCACATGCTTAGCATAAGCAAGCCCCTGAGTGCAGCCCCAGAAGGAGGGGAGGAAGGGAGGGTGGACCTTTAATGGACCCTCTGATATCCACAACTGAGCTTCCAACCCTCCAGAAGTCAGTGCCCTGACTCACATTTCCCCGCAATCGGACTCAAATAAGGGGCAGCTTGCCCACCCCACAGTGCTTCCTGAGGCGAAGCTCGGTCCACGCAGTGTGGAAGCCACACTGAACTGGGTATGTGGCTGTGTGCGTGCACCCATGTGCCCATGTGGATGCATGAGGCTGTCACTGGGTACCATCCTTCCTTACTCAGAAAGCAAGCACCATACATATGCATTCACATACATTTCTACGCACACAAGATGGGAAACGATTTTGTACTTTTTGGCAGTACTGGAGTCTGAACCAAAGGCCTTCACACTGAGCTATGTCTCTGGCCTTTTACCTAGTTTTCCTCCCCAGCACTTTAGTTAGAAACATTTTTTTTTTTTTTTTTTTTTTTTGAGACAGGGTCTTGCTCCATCACTTGAGTTGCCTGGCTCAAATTTGTGATCTTCCTGCCTCAGCCTCCCAGAGTACTGGAATTATGAGGATGTGCCATCACATCTGGTTGATGTTGTTCACTTTAAGTTACTGATGATACCTGGACAACTCAGGCTGCAGAGGCTGGCCAGGAAACTGACTACACATTTGGGATTTCACTGGGTACTAGGGACATGGGCAGGGCAGTTTGGTGTGTAGCCCATGAACCAAGCAGGGCTGGGGCCAGGGTGGTCAGCTTTGTTCTGGACTTGGAGTAAATACTGTGAATTCCTTGGGCTCCCTCTAAACCCAGAGGCCTGGCTCAACTGCTCTTCTGTGGGAGTCATAAAAACAAAAACAAATTCTCTCACTAGCAGATTTTATAGTTTAAGGGAGGATAGACAGGGAAGACAAACAATTCCTTTGCACCTAATGGGCACAATGCACATTCTCTACCAAGCAGTGAGAGGTACTTAACTGATCTTCACCAATGCCACCAAAGCATTGGAACCTGAATCCCAGGCAGGCGAGACCCCCAGAGCTGGAAGAAACTGTGAGCCAAGGCGGAGCTGAGCTCCTGAGCATAACTGGAGCAGCAGGATGAGAATCAACCAGAGCAAAGAAACGAGCCTGACTGTGGGGTCCCAGTGAGGGAAAACTCAGTGTTAGGGCTATACTCATTGCAACAGTGAGATAAGCCACCATCTGGTAACAGCCACCACTGCGGCCACAGCAAGGAAGATTAGTCCTAGGCAATCACTGGGGAGTACAGTACATCTAGAGTGGTGGGCACATCACCCCTCTCCAGGTGAGGTTGGTGAAGACGCTTCCAAGGAGATGCTTCCACACAGGCAGCTGCCTGGCACACAGAGTAGGGGAAAGGGTGGGCGATGCCAGAGCTAAGTAACAGGGGTCACACGAGAAGTCCTGAAATGACAAAGATGTGGGCGCTTTTGAAATAGGGTGTGGCAAAACAAAGCAGAAAAGTTTTAGGCACACCATGGTCAGTGTCACACACAAAAATGGGAACATCTACAAGGTTGACAGATAGGTGACATTGGGACCTGTTCCACAACTCAGCCTTGATCCTCACGTAGGCTCCCTACTAGAGATCAATCTTCTGTAACAAATGAGAAAATAAAGACCAGAGAGGCAGAGTAAGCTGTCCCGGTCACATAGCCAGTCCACAGTGCTTCATGGGTGCTTGCCCTCCAGAAGTCACTCTCTTAGCAGGGGTCTGATAAAGGTGGATGGAGACAGGGGGTTAATCTGCTCATTTGCTAACCAAAAAGGGTAGGTAAGAGTAATCACCAAGGTGAGAGTCTCACATGACAGCAGAGGGGACACAGTAGGAATGCCCGCACCTGCTCATGAACAAACATGAAAACAATGCAGCAAAATGATGTTCTTTAGCCATTTATTCCAGCTATTTCTAACTGGAATGTGGCTTTAAGTAGGAAATATTTATCAATGTTGAGCTGAGTTATAATTCTTCCAGGATGGTAGAAAGGAAAGTGTTTTTGCCATTAAGGAAAAAAAATGTTGCCCATTATATAATGTTTAGAATTGAGCATCTAAGAATCCACAGGCAGAAGGCAGTCAGGGGGCAAGGGTCGGGGGCAGAACATACTCTGCACCTCCCTTCTCACTCAGACACAGAATCGCCCCTCCTACTCAGAACTGCCACTCATTAGAGATGTTCCTGGGTCATTCTGACCACCAAATCTCCAGGTGACTGCATCAGATACAGATGCTTTCCCTTTCTCACAAACAGGGATGCAATTCTCACTCCAGCTCCTCAGCAGACAAGTCCAGTAGGCACAAGGCTGGGGAGGTGAGCAAACTCTGCTGCCTGGGAAGCCCCACCCCCATGAGCACACAGGCCCTAGGGTCCACCCCTTCACACCTCTGAACCATCATAGATCAGCAGCTGCTGGCTCGCTCTCTCACTCTCTCTCTCTCATGTGTGTGTGTGGTGGGTACTGGGGATTGAATCTAAGTGAGTGAACCTAGATTCAAAGATACAGCCCACTGCCGCACGGGTGCCATAGGTTTGCCACCGCTGACCTCAGGCCTTCACACTGAGCTACAACCCCAAGCCCTTTTAATTTTTGCTTTGACAAAGGGTCTTCCTAAGTCACTAAGTTGCGTAGGCTGTGCTCAAACTTGTGATTCCCTTGCCTTACCCTCCCAAACAGAGAGATTAGTGAACTACCACGTGGGGTCAGCAACTACTTTTGAACACATGAGGAGTCATAAGGTACTCAGCAGCAAAAGACATGCAAATGGTTTTGAAACTAGTTTTGAGTCCTTCTGGACTAAAGGAGCTCAGAATGAGAACATCTTGGGAGGTAAATGTTGGATTAACCTTCGATTTAAAAGTCCCTGCGACCCATCACAGGAGAACACAGAATAGCTGCAGTTCCTGGAATGAGTGCCTGTTTAAGTCCAACAGGCCCAATGTTGGAGCCTCAGGGCTCGATGAATATGGTGACACTAATTAACAGATCACAAGACAGCTGAAACAATACCCCCCAAGCTGTCATTAGACATGATATGGAGTTGGATTAGCACAAGCAGGCAAATCTGCCTCTCCCAAATACAGACAATTCAAATTTCTGGAAAAACATTCTTTTAAAACTCCTGTATATAAAACATGCAATGGAAAAGAGTCAGTGTTATATACTGA